GGCTAAAATAGGTACTAGGGCAAAAACGTGATGCAATGTGCTAAAGCTAACGCTAATTAAACTAAGCTATGAAAAGCTATGTTAGCCAAGCCAATTTTTGCTTTAATTCGTTTAAAGAATATATTTTATATGTAATAACTTGCTAACCTGACCGTGTTTTTGTAATCTAAAGGAACATTACAAAACCAATTAGGAAATCCTCAATATAACAGGACAAAGTAATTGTTGCAAAACAAGTAATGCTGGAGGGGAAGATGCAAACCAAAGTCATAGTTTTTTTTTTTTTTTTAATCTAAGCTGTTTTGAACACTCCGAGCTTGTGTCAGGTGTATAAAAGTATCCCAAGAAATAAATTTGACACAACTCAGTCCCCCTATTGTAGTTTAAATTATCAAAATTTTTCTGCTCACTAAAGGTTAATGTTACAGATGACAAATACCTTGCAAAAAAACAAACTAACTTTAAACTCAAGATCGGCTGAATAACAATGTCAGCATAAATCTACACACTGCAAGAATGGAAGCATTAGTTGATTTAAAATAATTAGATTAGATTAGATTAGATAGACCTTTATTGTCATTGTACAGAGCACAATGAAATTACAGTTCAGAACACTCATTCAGAAGAAGACAGAACAAACATAGTAAACATACATACATAAAAAACATTTAAATGAGCAAAGACCAGTTAGTTTCTTAGGAAAGAATAACATAACGCAGCAGTTTGATCAAACTAAAACAGCCCTTAAGAAGTCGTGAAATTTTCTTGCAAGCATAGAGTTTTGTGTTACAATGAAAATGCAATTTTGTTTTAAAACCTCAAGGCTGTTTGGTAAATCTGTTGGAGGCTGGGTTTACGGTCATCGTATTTCCTCTCAGCGGACTGAGCAAACCAGGAGCTAAACCCCAAAATACTGGGTCACAGTTTTCATCTGTAAATCATAACTAAGACTTAATGAGACTGATTTGCATCAAGGTTTTTGCTTCAAATCAATCATCCGTCCTGAGCAAACACGTGGTGGTGGGCGGGCGACTATAGGTTATGCTGTACGACTAGAAGTTAATTTTTAACAGTTCAAACTCTTACTCTGCCATTAAAAAGGGTTTAAAATGTCAAATTTGAATTTAACGAGGTGTTTTAGGTTGTGTTTTCTTCTCAGCATGTTAAATTTTACTAAAGGAAAAAACACATTTTGAGCCAAACAAGAGTTTCAGTAGTAAAGAGCCAAAATGTGGTTTTTAATTTTTGGTACACCTAAAGTTTTTTTTTTTTAATCTTCTACTTGTAAACCTTAATAAATTTAAATGTAGAAATTTGATTTTTAAAATGTAGTTTAAAACACAAATTATTTTTTTTCATACAAACGTGCATTGTAAGTTTTGAAATCCCTGTTACCATTTTTTCTTCTTTGTACTGTTTTTATCTCTAAAATACTAATTTTCTTAAAAGAAATTGGAGCGTTTTAATGTCCCCATGATGATGTAAAGGTGTTTCAGAATCTAAAAGTACTTTTTCGGTCCGTTTAAGAGTGATAAATTAAGACTATTCATAGGAAACCTTAAAATAAAGGGTGTGTTTGATGTGAAGTGTGCGGAAATCTTGCCACAATTTCCTCTTGTCGCTCACAAGGTTACGGGAACATTGAGTTCTATAGAAACATAGAGTTTTAACTTGAAAAAAGGAAATCTCATTTACTTGTGCTGATGTGTCCGCAGGAGACGAGAATCAGGAAGATCTGAAGCAGCTGCTGCTTCTTGGAGGATGTCATGGTGGTTGTTCCTGTGTCCTCTGTAAGAAAGGTTTCTCACTCTGTGTCTTCTTGCTGCATCGTCTTACCCCCTCCTCCTCCCCTCCCACGGCCCACTGTGACGCAGCTGTGAGCTCATTGCAGACTGTGAGTGTCTCCATCCATTATTCAGTCAGACAGGTTCATACGGTGATGCTGTCGCTGCAGAGACTCGAGTTCTGCTGGTCAGTTTGTGGCAAAAAACAAAAAGCTGACAAATGCATTAAGCTAAAACTGCTGTACGTCCACATTAWTTAAATCATCTGTCTGTGTTCGGCTGACACTGTGGACCTTTCTGTGGCCTCTCTGCTGTGTTATTTGAGAGGACCTGGCAGCCTTGGGTCACATGATCTGTCACCTTTCATGAGGACAACAAGGAGAAKAGTGCTGAATGAAAATATGTGGAAGATGCTCAAACTGAATCGTTGATGGTAAATAAACAGAAAAAAAACAATAATTAGTTCAATGAAAGCTAAAAGCCTAAATCAGCAAAACAGTAGTCAGAAAAATATAGTAGCTAAAAGCTAAAATCAGGAAAAGCATTTGTTAAATTTTCAAATGATAAAAAAAGGTCAGAAGCTACATCCTATAGAACAGGAGCTAAAGCTAAAATGAACAAAAGGGTTGCTTTAATTTGGAATTAGCAAAAACRTATGGAAAAAGTGAAATTACTAGAATAGCTAAAAGCTAACTATTGAAAAACAATAGATAAATGAACAGTAGCAAATGCTAAAATTAGCAAGYCTAGCACGAAGCTAAAATATTTAGAACAGCAGCTAAAAGTTCTTAAAACATTTGCTAAAAACTAAAATTAGCAAGAGAGTAGCAAGTAGCTAAAACGTTTAGAACAGGCGATAAAGCTAAAATGAACAAAACAGTTGCCATAAGCTACAATTAGCTAAAATAGACGGAAGCTAAAATTACTAGAACAGTAGAGAAAAGCAAAAACTTGCAGAATGGTTGATAAAATCTAACATGAAAAAAAAAACAGTGGCTACAGCTATATTTATCAAAATAGTAGCCAGAAGTCAAAATTATTAGAACAGTAGCTAAAATACATTAGTAAAGCATTAGCTGAAAATCAAAATTAACAAAACAGCAGCAAAAAGCTACAATTGGCAAGAACTGTCAAAAGTTAAAACTAGCAAAACTGCAGCTAAAAGTTAAAACCAGCAAAACATAAAAACTAACATTAGCAAAGCAGTTGCTAAAAGTTATAACATTTGCTAATATTAGCTAAAGGTGATTTTCTTTCATTTGTGGCAGATTTTTTTTTCTTCACACTTTGAAGAGCAGCGGTGTTCAGGTGGTTGGTCTGTAAATAAAACATCACACGTTTTGGAGCAGTTTTAAAACATCTAGCTTATAGGATGAATAAAATAAATTTAGCTGTTTTAAAAGGTTTTCCTGTACTGAAAGAGTAAAAGTGACGCCTTATGTCCCCCGTTAAATTATTAGATAAAAGACTACAACTGCAGTATATGGTGTTATTTTATTAAAATGCTTTTTCTAAAAATATATCTATATAGTTAAACTTGAGTACAAAATTAACATACAGCATTTCCAGACAAATAAAGGTTTATAAAATCAAGAATACAAATGTTTTTTTAAACCTGTAACCAAAACAGCAGCAAGGATTCAAAAAGTCATTTAARGCTTTGTTCACTGCGGCTGAAGCTGCAGGCTGTTGATGAACACCGTCTGCAGCTCGTTCATGTCCTCCGTCGCCTCGATGGGGATGCTGAGTTTACCCGGAGAACTCACGAGTCCGTCGGCCTCGTACTCTCGCTCGTAGCTGCACTGGCTCAGATGGTCGTGGTAGGCGAACCCACAGCCTCCCACCGCGCCCGGCGGATGCTCGCAGACGTCCGGGTAGCGGTGCTGCGGGGAGAGGCGGTTCAAGTCCTGGGCCTGGTGCGACCCGTGGTACAGGAGGTAGTGGTGGTGTTCGGGCCCAGGGCTGTGACAGGGGCTCTGGGAGGGGCTGTGGGGCATGGGGCAGGTCTGCAGGCAGCTGTTCCGACGCATGGCCCGGTGCAGGTCCAGTCGAGCGATGAGCGGCTTTCCGATGTTGACGCTTTTGGTCCAGTGTACGGGATGATCTTCATCCATGGCTGCGAAGGTCCCCTGAAGGCACACGGTGAAGACCAGCTCCTCCTGTAGATTTAGCAAATCAATAATTTAATTAAACGCATATTAATTTCAGTTCTCAATCATCTTCTTTAACCTCAACTGGACTCATTAAAGAACTGTCTTGTTAAAATTAAACACTGGCTTGGCACTAATTCTTTGCAGTTAAACTCTGATGAGACTGAGGTGCTGGTGATTGCTCCTGACTAGGGTTGGGCATAATCGTATCGTGTGCAATTAATCGTCAGAAAAACATTAATCTATTATTTTTTGGCACTTGACAATTAMAACGATTAATGACACCAGGCGGACTGACCGCTCGGTGCTCCTCTCTGCTTCAAATAAGACAAACGTTAAAAATAAAGTTCTGTAATTTATTTATCAACACAATTTAAAATATGATGTATACCCTGAAATATGTAATGTTCACACAATTTGGGACAATTTTTTACAAACAGCAAACCTTTCCCACTAAATTGGTCATGTGACCAGGACATAAAGGTGTCCAGGGACTCCAGGGGATTAATCGTCAAATTAATCATTATCAGCTAAATACCATAATTAATCTTGATTMATTTTTTTTGCCAATATTGCCCAATCCTACTCTTGATGATGCTGTTCTAAGAATCTACCAGTATCTGGGTGACCTGAGTTCATCTGTCAAATCTAACCTTAGAAATCTTGGTGTGATTTTTGACAGAGGGATGTCACTGTRACACTATTCCAAACAACTCTCTAGAAACTTCTATCAGCTTAGAAATATTTCCAAACTTAGGAGYGTTGTTTCCAAAGATGATTTAGAGTTGATCATTCATGCTTTTGTGTCCTTACGTCTAGACTATTGTAATAGCCTTTTTTTTTCCTGTCCTAATAAGGAGTTGTCTCATTTACAGCTGGTCCAAAATGCAGCAGCAAGGCTGTTGACCCGCACCAACAGAAGGGTTCATATTACCCCGATTTTAAAATCACTCCATAGGCTCCCAGTGAGTTTTTGTTTTAAGTTTAAAATCCTGGTACTAACGTTTAAAGCTCTCCATGGTCAGGCTACCTTATATACTAAAGCCCTGTTGTGTCCGTATTTACCCTCTGGAGGGCTGAGGTCATCAGATCAGCATCTTTTAACGGTCCCTTTCATTCACTTTAAGTCTAGAGGTGATCGCTCCTTCCAGGCCGTCGCTCCAAGGCTCTGGAATGATCTTCCGCTCTCTACGTGCACTTGATTCTGTGATTGCCTTTAAGAGCAAACTTAAAACTTTCCTTTTTCATAAAGCTTTAACAATTTGTGTGTTGTCTGTAGTTATTGCTTTATGATGTTGATGTTTTTATTGTCTCGTTTTTTTCTGTATAATTTTTGCACCTTTGTGAAGCACTTTGTGACCCTCTGTCTGTGAAAGGAGCTATATAAAGAAACTTTTACTTACTTACATTTGTTTTTAAATCTCATTAAAAACATAAGCAACAGCAGCTAAGCTAAAAGGGCTGTATGGTTTCTGAGAATGTTAACATTTAGACGTTAGCTTCTGAAAAAGCTTTGYTACACTAGTACAGCTTCAAAGAGCAACAAAAACCAGCTGGATATTTAATAATAAATGATGAGCCTCTTTAGCAGACTGCTCAAATTACGTGTACGGCAAATAGACCATTTCGTAGTTAGAAACTATCATAAACGAGCATGCGCGAAACGGGCCGACTTCACGTTTATCAGGAAAAAAAAGCTATGTAAGAAAAAACGCCATTGTAATTGCATGAATTCAGGTAAATTTACGAAGTTATACTGACCCGATGCATTTGCTCTAAACTGATTTGTGTTAAATTTTSCTTTAGGATCGTAGATGGGATTTTTCATGAATACTGAGTTAGCATAAGCATTAGCGTTTTCATATAGCAACCTCAGCTTTTATCATCCTGTGAGTTGAGGCAATTGTTTTTTTTACCCTGAGCTTCTGCAGCGAGCTGAGTCGGGTGTAGAGGCAGTGCTGCGGCAGGCTGCTGGACAGCAGGTAGATCCCCGTCTCCTCCGGAGTCTCTCTGTTCATTTCTTTAGGATCCACATCCAGGTCCTGCAGCAAGACAAAACAAATGTGACGGTTTCATCGTCCAGCTCTAAACTTTTAGATAGAACAGCAAGAGGGGAGAAAAGTCTTGGATTTTCCTGTAACGTGAACACTTGACGATACACTGACCTGTGTGAAGTCGGTGACGTGAGCCTGACAGAAGGACATGTCCTCAGGTTTCTTTATGATGTGCGTGTAAATGATGAGCACGTTGGAAAACTCTGCGGCGAAACCCAGCTTGATCTGAGCCCCGCAGTCAAAGTCCAGACACATACTCTCAGGCAGCTCTGGAGTAACGAGCACAAACATGTTCGTGACCGAACAGCTGATTGGAGGCAAATATTTATGAATGAACTGAAAATCAGGCTTACCGTGAGCTTTTGCCCACTGGCGGCTGTGAGCGTGAGCGAGGTCGGCACTGTCTTCAGCCAGGATCGGATCGGTGAGCGCTCTCCTCTCCGACAGGCTGCTGCGGATCTCCAGTGCCTGCTTACCCTTCGTAGCGTCAAACTGACCCATGTCTGCAGAGTTAAATGCATATAAACGTATTCTCTTTTAAAACCTGCACCTCATAAGTAGATTTTTTTTAAAATATTTTCCCACCTTCAGCGACTCTGTCCAGAACCACGGTGATCTTCTCGTCGTCCATCAGCCGCTTCTTTAAAAACTTGACGAACACTCCGTTGGTGAAGCCCGTGGAGCTCAGCTCGAAGGCTTCGGCGTCCTGGCAGCTGATCCACCAAACACAAAGGTAACACTTTATAAACTCTTAACGCAGACTGGAGTGCAACGGTACAGAAAATTCACAATTCGGTTCGGTTCAATACTTTAGTCTCACGGTTCGGTATATTTTCGATACAAAAAAACAAAAAAATGTCCACGCCC